GATTTGTCACCAAAAATCCTTCTGCTAGCTGAAACACATTTTTTGTGGCAAAATTAAGACACAAAATCACCCCAGAGTGGATGAAAACATCCTCAACAGAACACAAGGGTTCAAATAAAATCCCAAGTTATGGTCAAATTAATGTTCAGTCATGATTTATTCATCATTTATTTTCCTTCGGCTTAGCCCCTTTATTTATCAGGGGTCGCCACAGCGAAATGAACCGCCAACTTATTCAGCATATGCTTTACGCAGCGAATGCCCTTCCAGCTGTAACCCATCAATGGCAAACACCCATACACTCTTACTAACACACATAAACTACAGGGGTAAACCGGAGCACTCGGAAGAAACCCACGTCAACAAGAGAAGAACATGCAATCTCCGCACAGAAATGCCAACTGACCCAGCAGGGGCTCGAACCAGTGACCTTTCTTCTGTGAGGCAAAAGCGCTACCCACAGTGCCACCACGCCGCCCTCTATCATCATTTAGCTTAAAAATATATTTGTATGTAAAAATTAAACAACATGCCAAAGATGTCAAAAAGTGATCATACCAACTCACTTACTATTCTTCAGCTTAGTCAGGGGTCGTCACAGCGGAGTGAACCACCAGTTACTCTGGCATATGTTTTTATGCAGTGGATGCCCTTCCAGCCACAGTGATTATCCTAAATTAGAATCTATTTTCAATGATGTAATACTTCTTGCAGAAAAAGGCTAAAAACCTTGTGATTTGAAGGATGGAGACAAAATAGAATGGTTTAAAATGTCTACCAATATTGTTTTTCTGAGCTGCACTGTGATCCTTGAACCTTTTTTAATGTTTACAAATGATTCCTAATTCTTTATAATCAGTGTTTTTGGTATATAAGCTATTATTACACTAAATGACCTTGAAGTGGTGGAAAATTCTGTAAATCACAATGAAAATGTAAGGCGGCAATTAAGTTTAAAGCCAAATTCACTTTAAAGACAAACAAAGGCTAAAAACCCCACACATCCCAAAAGTGTTTTAAACATCCAGACAGAATTTTCTATTCTAATTTCCTCAAGGCTTCTGTGAGCTGACGATCTCAGAACATTTTACACATTCAGGCAGACTCAAACGGACCCTTGTGAAACATATTAACTAGTGACAACCGAAAACAACGAATATTGTTCTGAGCAGCAACAACTAAAGCAGACGGCACTGATGTGTGTTTGGGGAGACCAGAGATAACATGGCAGAGAGGGAAGAGACAATTTTGGAGAATTAAAAAGGACAGTAGAGGGGAAGAAGTGGGTTAGTGATTGATATTAGGAAGGAAAGGGGGAAATGAAATAAGACATTGAAAGGCAGGAATAGAAATCAAGCATATGACAGAGGATGAGACAGATGAAGACAAAAGGACACAAGTCGAGAGAGATTGTGTGTGTGTGTGTGTGTGTGTGTGTGTGTGTGTGTGTGTGTGTGTGTGTGTGTGTGTGTGTGTAAGAGCTCTGGTCTATTTGTGGTGCAGAGAAGAGCTGAGACAGTTGGCATCACAGTATGGTAGTGCAGGCAAAGGGCTGGTCTGTGCGTTCATGTGTGTGTGTGCTTGTGTGTGTTTTAAGGGGTTGGCAGGGAAGTTCGATGGGGCAGAGGAGCATAACCCTGAACGTTTGCTGCAGTCACATCAAACCAGTCACATTGGGCTGTTAACTTCGTTCTCACAGCCCAAGGGTTTGTTCAGCCAAGCATGAAGTTTCTGTCATCAAAAACACTTTGAATGCCAGGCGCTCAAAGTTAGAGATTCTAAAAAGCCTTTATTAAAACAAGCCTTTAAGATCATGTGAATATTTTTTACAATGTTTATTTTGGGACGGCACGGTGGCGCAGTGGTTTGCACTGTCACCTCACAGCGAGAAGGTTGCTGGTTTGAGTCCTGGTGTTACATTGACCAGTGATCTAGCAACTAGCTACTTTTAGCGAACTACCACTCCCCGCATGCACCTCGCACACACCTGTTCCTGTTACCTACTGATTACACACACAGCCTAAGGATCATTATTCATTATTAACTGATTAAATGGACTTTATAAACAGCACACACACACACATTTCAGCGCTGAGTCTTGTTAATCTTCGTTTTCTGAGGCATATGTAATTTATTAAAGAGGAAAAAAGCCTATATTGGCTTCTGCTACCACAGCAAATTCCATCTCTGCATCCCAAATGGCACACTATGCAATTAATCACTATGTACTTGTGCACTTACACACTCAACAACATAGTGTATGAATTTAGTGTCATCCCAATTGGAACACTAAAGTGTTTTTACTAACTGGAAATTCAAACCATTTCCCAGATGACATTTGATGGTTGCCAAATTGGTTAAATAAATGACCAAACAACCAAATAATACCTGCCATGCTTATAATCGTACTCACCATTGGAAGGCGGCATAATCTTGTAGGAGAATTTAGCTTTCACCATCCAAAATAAATAAAGTAAGCCAAATTCAGTGCCCAATAGCTCTGCCCCTTTAGATATGTGAGCAAAGCTGTAGTCGTGGAGCGCGTAAAGTGTCCAACATTCCACACGTATTTTTAATGACTGAATAAGTGCATCATAACATTTTAAAGATGTGTGAATGCACTACTTACACTATTTATATTACAAAAAGGTAGAATATAGTGCATTAGTATGTGATTTGCAACAAACAGCATGTTTCTGTTTGATATTTGGTGCCATTTTGCCAGTAAGTAACAATTTTGTTGTCTTTGACTCATTGGATTGAAGCGGTGCTTAATGGATATTCTATTGACCCCCTAGTTTTTCGTGATTCCGTGATCACTGAATCCAACATAAAATTGCATAAAGTCGAAAATTTTTGCAACCCTGCAAAATTCTCAATTTAAACGCAAAATTATCGCAAAAATGTAAATAATCTCATAAAACATCCATTTACAAACCATATAGTCAAATTATATTTATTTCAGTTTGCAATGAATTGCTTTACATGACTTATAGACGTTGCATACACAGCGCACATGACGTATTTGTGTGTCTCTCGAAAAATGACATTTCATCTGCGCCCTTACAATCATTACATTAAAAGGAATGTGGGTTTTTAGCTAGTGCAGTAAGCAGATGCACATGAAGCAAGAGTGACTTACATCTGAAGTCAAAGCAAAGATGGGATTAGATATCCTGTGGCACGAATCGGTGTTCTAACAAACGGAGCAATGGAAGAGACAGAAGGAAAGATGAAGGACATTATTTGTGTTTGACATATATGGCTGGTATTATGATGTGCGTCAAATCAAACTCTTTCCCTGTAGTTAACGAGAGAAAACGCTTCATTGCCACTGACGAGTTTTACAGCAATCTGCATTTTAGATGCATTTTGGCAGGGAAAGTCCTAACACATGTGCTGAGTGAGGTAAATGATGTCAGATGCTCTGGCGAGTGAAATCAGAGAGAAAGTAAGATCATGGATAAAAATAAGAGTTATACAACTTTCCTTTGGCTAAATCCCTACCATTTTAGATCTGTGTTAGATCTTGACTCGACAAGACACCAAAATAAAGAAGCTTTATTTTTATGATTTGTGTCATTGTGTCAGATTGCACATCCAACATAGTAGGCTACCTAATATGGTAAATAATAATATATAAATAGGATATAGTTTAAGTCAGAATTATTAGCCCCCCTTTGATTTTTTTTTCTTTTTTAAATATTTCCCAAATGATGTTTAACAGAGCAAAGAAATTTTCACAGTATGTCTGATAATATTTTTTTCTTCTGGAGAAAGCCTTATTTGTTTTATTTCAGCTAGAATAAAACCAGTTTTTAATTTTTTTAGAACTATTATAAGGTCAAAATTATTAGCCCCTTTAGCTATATTTTTTTCAATAGTCTACAGAACAAACCATCATTATACAATAACTTGCCTAATTACCTTAACCTGCCTAGTTAACCTAATTAGCCTAGTTAAGCCTTTAAATGTCACTTTAAGCTGTATAGAAGTGTCTTGAAAAAAATCTAGTAAAATAGTTTTTACTGTCATTATGACAAAGATAAAATAAATCAGTTATTATGAATGAATTATTAAAACTAGTATGTTTAGAAATATGTTGAAAAAATCTTCTCACCATGGGAATTACCATCACAAAATCAATTATTCTTATTGCAAAAAATGCCCCCCAAAAATCTTGAAAAACTAGGGGGTCTGATTCTGGTTTTGCACAAAAAAATCTAATTTACATCATTGGTTGGGAACATGACTCAAATAACCACTCCCTACAAGTCAACCAACACATCTGAATGCAAAAAAAAATCTAACCTTGAAGCAGATGAACTACAGTAGCAAAACATCTGGTCTTAGCGGTTTCCTTGGTCTGTCCTTTAGCTAATTTTATGACATATAAATATATAAATATATAAATGCTGCCTGCTCATCTAAACACCAAACAGGGAGACCAAAAAAATCGTTGCCGCTTGTTTTTTTTTCCAGCAGTGATTTAAAAGAAATTGTATTTTTGTGTGATATTAAATGTAAGTTGCCTGAAGTACCGAATTCTAACCCCCACGGGTATAACTGTGTGCAAGTATGACCAAGCTTTAAACATGTTCATGTACAAATTCACATCAATGTGTGTGCTTCCAGAGCGTGTAATGTGCACTTCATCCAGGCCAGAATGTGACTGATGTGTGCTGGCAGCTCCCTCGAGCCCCACAGACCCTGTGTGTGGAGCGTTCATTCTTCCAGTGGAGAGCAGCTGACCCATGTCCAGCCTGCTGAATGCCATCTCTCACCCTCATTCTCTTTCGATGCCCTCTCTCACTTTCTCACATCCTTCTCACTTCCTCTAAGGCTACTATTAAGGCCCTGCTGTTGGGAACACTGTGTGTCCATGCAAAGAGGATCAATATGCCAATCGGACTCTAAGGGAGTGAACAGAAGTGGCTGCTGGGAGAATATCAGAGCTGAAGTGAAGCGTGATCGCTGTCCGTGCGAGACTGAACCCATACCTGCTGGCAAAATGCTCGATCCGGCTGTGTGTGTCTGCATGAGGCAGCCTGGGAGATGAGCAGGGCCTGTCAAAACACCAACACACACATCTGTTAGCAAAGTAGCTTGTTATGTATGAATGCTTGGGTGCAACATGTCTTGGCTGGTCTATGATATTGGTCAGGCTGTTTGGGTTAAAGGTTTTAGAAAAGTTTTGGGTGATTTTTTTGGGTAGTCATTATGGATGATCTTAATCATACAGATGAGTGGGCTCTGCGTATGCAGCAGACACTTTCTTAACACTCCATGTTTCTGGAAATGTTTCTGTGTAATTCTTAGTGTGCAAGCTTGACAATGAGTGAGCTTGACAAACCACCTGTAGGAGAAACGCTTTTTCTCTACACATGCTCGGAAAAAAAAAAAAAACTAATATTTATCATAGCAATTAGGGATGCACGATGTATCGGCAGCCAAATCGATATCAACCGATAAATGCTGTTTTTAATGGTATCATTATCGGTTCGATATCAAAATTAGGCCGATATCTTTAAACCAATAGATTTCGTAATTGTACAAAACAGCCTGGCTTGCGCATGCACGGGTAGTACTTGTCCAGACTTGTCCAGTACACTATAATGAAGCTTTCCTCACATTTTTTATTCCTTTAAAGTATGTCTGTGTGGTATTGCTGTGCATTAATAACTCAGTAATTAACCATATTCCTTAACATTGTTTATATGTTTGATAGATCGTCATTGTGTATTTTGGTTTAAATCGCCTCAGGAAACAATATTAAATGTGTAAACATAATGGCAGTGATGCATTTAATTTGTTTATATGTCCTAATCAATGTGTTGTTTGTCATGTATTGTTGATGCAAGAATGTATTTTGCTTGATCGGCTAGCATTGTATGACAGACAAGCAGCACCCACATGTACATGTGTTCAAAAGAACCTATGACACATTTCTGAAGTAAAACACAATATCTGTATTTAGCTTTTTACTCTAAACTGTCAAAACACCTCGGAAAACACTTTTTAGGACATTAGATATTTGTGCATACTGTATGAACATTACTGTAACAGGTTTTATTCAAGCTTATTCAGCTGGTTTTATTTTCATTTTATTTAAAATAATTTATTTTGTTTGTTTGTTCATTAAGTCCCGTTTTGTTATTTAAGTTATTTTTTTATGCAAGTCAAGTTGCATGTTAATTTGCTATGTGAAGAAAAGGAAAAAATATATTTTTTTTATGAGGTTTTTAAAATAAAATCAGTTGTTTGCTGTGTAAAAATACAACATTTTTAAATATTTATATTTATATTTATTGACCAATACATAGGATATATGCCTCAAAATCATGAGTAATCGGTCATCGATATCAGCCAAATAAATCCATATTGGTGCATCCCTAATAGCAATTATATACTGCTGCTTTCTAATCACTTGAAGTGCTTCTTTTATTCTCATTTGCATAAAATTGTCTGCTAAATGAATAAATGTCAAAAACTCATCTAATTATTAGGACCCATCCAAAACTCAACTAATTATTACCTAACCCATCCAAAACTCAACTAATTATTACCTAACCCATCCAAAACTCATCCAATTATTATCTAACCCATCCAAAACTCATCTAATTGTTTTGTATTTAGTTTCTTAGCAAAATAATGTTTAGATATTATTTACTAGAAAAAAAATGTAACATAGGTTGACCTAAAATGGTTTGTGGCTCTTGTAGCTGCAACATATATATAAAAAAATAAATAAAAAAATAAAAATAAATAAATAAATAAATAAATAAATAATAAATAAATAAATAAATATATATATATATATATATATAATAACTGGAATTACAAATATGTACATATATGTTCTATATACAGCTATATACAGTATACATAAGAATTTCATTTGGGAATGTCAGGAAACCAGCTTTATTAAGCAAAGATCAATAAACAATCTAGGTTTAATTTCTTAACTAAATACATCTGGTTTTAAGGAGGTTGTGTATTCTAGTAGCTGTTATCTTGTTTAAAGATATGGATCTGTTGGAATGGAAACTGTTCATTTACTCATTTACTCATCCAGTACTTGTTCCACTGAAATTTGCAACCCAGGCTCATTCCGATTACGTACCCATATATACATTTCGGGAGAGTGCAAAATATGTCCCAGGAGCTACGTTTTTTTGAAGTTTTTGTTCTGTTGGAGGCTTTTTCAGATCTGAAATTTCCGTCACGAGTGCCATGTACACCTGCTGTTCTCGTGTAAATCCACCAGTGGCTGCTTTCAACTGATTAACTGACTGACCGATTAACCGATCGATAACCCCACCCTCCCCCTTTCCCTATACCCAATTTAGTGTTTTCAAAAGCATTGATTAACTCACCCACCCCCTTCCCTAAACCCAACCGCAGTGTTTTAAAAAGCAATTCAGAAAAAGAAAAGCTATCGCCTGATGTTTCACTATATTTTCAGATTTTACCACATTCTCACCCTGTTGATTACTTGTTTATTTTTTGGCTTCTGTTTTTGTCTTACCTGCTTGCTGGAACCGGACTCAAACCCCGTCGAATGTGTCGAGCTACCGGACAAACTATTAACAGCAGAAAAACTGCCCACATGCATGTTAGAGGTTAGCTGCAAAATCATTTTAAAAACGAAAATGTAGCCATCCGTACTTCTGGCTACCTAATTCCCAATCTCCAGAAACGCATATAGGGCTACGTTTCAGAATGAGCCTACATTGGAAATTTGACATAAACCTTTCTAAAAGCAGCCATCAAGACCAGCCTAAGACCATCAGACCAGCACATGCTTGTTAAAGATGCTTAGATTCACCACGGAAGTAAAGTTATTCTGAGTGCACTGTGTTCAGTCCCACGTCACTTCACTTATGAACCTTATGAAGAGCACAACGGCACTACGGTGTGATTCTCATCAGCGGAGACAGAAAGTCAAACTCACGTCTCAGAGCTCTCCACCTCCAGTACTGATTGAACAGGCAGGTATCCCCTCTGAGGGTGTTTACTAAAATACTGCTTCGAGCGGAACTTGTTCTTCAACGTCTTTGCGAAGTCCCGCATCTTCTCACCTGAGGTCGTCTGGAATGATTCAGAAAGAGAGAGGAAAAGAGAAAGAGAAAAATTAGTATGAGCGATTGAGACATAACTCATCCTCCACATAACATTCCTTCATCAGTACAGAACATTTGTCTTTCTCCAATCTCTAACTGTCATCTCTTGAGGAGCTACACAAAGCCGCTGCGTAATAAAGACATCCACCTATAAAACTCTAGAGTGGAGCATGGGAAAACCATTAAGCAAATGGCCCTGTGTTGTATTTCACAGCATGAGATCAATTCAGTTTAATTCATATTTATTTTGCGTAGTGCCTAAGTGATTGAATTAGAAGCCTTAAAGCAAGCACGGAAGCTGCCAGTTGGCAAGGAAGAAGCCGCATTTGTACCGGGGTGTAGTACTCCATGATGGGATAGTGTAGTTTCTTGCCCTTGGTTGTTCGGCCCGTCAGAAAACACGTCTGGCAGATGTCCACATTGAATTGTTTTAGACTTCGGTATCTGAAACACATTGTGATGAAACAGAGATGCATTTTACATACAGTTATAGATGTGTTCATTTTGACTGTAACAGTTTACTACCAGCATGTTGGATAGTGATGGGTTTGCCAGCAAATCAAAGCTCTTTCTATTGAGTTATGTTGAGTAAAACAATTCCCCAATGTGTATAAAAAGAGTATTATTACCATACATTGCCAATCAAATATTAAAGGTGCTGTGTGTAAATTTTGACTTTTCTAAAGCATTAAAATACCATAATACGTTTGCAGATATTTAAGAAACATGCCAAGTGAACATTCTTGTTTATCTGAAAAACAATGTTGAAGTCAGATATTTTGCTTTGAAAAAGTGCATTCCATGCTGAAACGTCTGTCTTTGTTTATTAACCCGCCCTCTGCCAGTTTAGCCAATTATATTTCAGCACCCTGGGCTGCCTTTGTGGAAAATTGCGTATTTTGTTCATTGAGTCAGAAAGGCTAACAAAGTACGCATCCGTGACCAAAATGTGACCTCCCGTGGACATTAGCAGACTTTGAAACGAGATGCAGATTCAGAGTTCCACATGAGGTTATTTACAATTATCAAATAATATAAACATTACAAATGTAAACATTAGATGAGCAGGTTACATTGTTACTCTGTGTCCTAACAACACTCTACATGATGAGATTTGCAGAAATAAGTAATTTGTCTGTTTGAACTAGACGAAAAATGACAGAAATTGAAATACAGCCATTCAGAAGCACAGAATAGTGCACTCACTGCACTCCAACAAAATGGTAATGTTTATAATATAATTAATACATATTAAACCTCTTTGACATTATTAAATGCACACTGTCACAGTTCTGAAGTTCAATTTTCAAACAATTTATTTTATTTTGAAGATCTGAGGTGAACTCTCTGCTTTTCTGCTTTCATTCAAACTCACATTGTTAGCGTCTAACACTAAATAAAGCAAATGAGGTGTACTTAAGGGGATCATTGTCAGTTTATCCTGTTGTTCAGCTGTGAGAAATACAAGTCTTTTCTAATATATATATATATATATATATATATATATATGTATATATATATATATATATATATATATATATATATATATATATATATATATATGAGATCACACACACACAAACATGTGTATATCTATCTATCTATCTATCTATCTATCTATCTATCTATCTATCTATCTATCTATCTATCTATATATATATATATATATATATATATATATATATATATATATATTCATTCATTTATTTCATGTGCTGGTTAGAACAAAAACCCCTTTTAATATGGAAAAATTCCTTCTATTGCGTGCCGTTGCTTTTATATAGAACCTGGTTTACATCAGCCTTTAATCAGCAATTATGCTCAACAGTCCTGATGGTGTTGTCAATCTGGCAACCTGCGCTTGTGTGTGTTTTGAACCAGGTGTGCAATACTTAGTTCATCCACTCGGTGTCAAACTTACATACTGCACCCTTAAGGATAAGTATATTTTTTTGTAATAAATTTGTTACACGTTATGTAACATGGCACCTTAAAATAAAGTATAACCAATTTTTGCAGTAATTTTAAATAGTTGGCTTAAAAGAACACTTTTTCTTTTTGTAGGCTCTTTTTACAACTCCTTTAGAGTTGCATTTTACCATTTTTCAATCCATTCAGGCAATTTCTGGGTCTAGTCGAAGCACTTTAGGCTTAGGTTAGCTTAGCATAAATCAATGAATCAAATTAGACCATAAGCATCCCGCTCAAAAATGTCAAAGATAACTGTGATCATTTAAAGCTTAATATGTCTGTTGTTATATTTTGTTCTTTGTAATCACATAGTGGTGTATTGACCTTATTCTTCAATGCGGAAGTGCGCTCGTTTTGCGATTGTTTTAGAACTTCCGATTCAGTTGCCTATGGTAGAAATGACTAGGAATAATAAACAGCAGAAAATGGTCAAACTACTTGCTCTACAAACAAGTGTTTGTATGACTATACAGACAAAGTAGAATAATATAATAGGAAATATATGTTGTAACATTAAGCAGTAGAAGAAGCTGTTTTAACGTCTAAAAATGAATGGAAATGAATGAGACTGGAGGTTTCGAGCCAAAAAGATGGCTAACCCGCTCGTATGCAAAGAATAAGGTAAATAGAAAGTTCAAAGAAACAGTATTACTTTCTGTAACAATAAATAATCAATTTTGACTCATTTTAACACTTCTTGAATAAAATAAACAAAGCAATACACAAAGGAGACAAAATACTCATTTTAGAGGAAATTTTCAAGGGGCATTTAGTGGTTTTTGCATCTAAACTCTTTATACTATTCTTATTACTCAGTTAGTCTTTTCTTTCTTACTTTTATTTTGTTAAATATAACTCATTCAACTATATAAAACATTTAGATGAAAGCCGTTTTATTCAGCATCTCTTTAAATGGAAAGTAAGCATAAATAATAGATGAACAAAAACATTATTAAAAATGAAACAAACGAACATAACATAGAACAAAATCTTTTGCCAAATTATAAAGAAATAAATATAAAAGTGTTCACAGATTTCTCTTTTCGGTTAATGTCATTTACAAACACAAATTAAGCCATTAACTTATACTGTTGAAGTTAGAATTATCAGCCCTCTTGTATATTTTTTTCCCTCAATTTCTGTTTAACCGAGATATTTTTTTCAACACATTTCTAAACAGTTTTAATAACACATTTATAATAGCAGAATTATTGTATCTTTGTCATGATGATAGTAATAATATTTTACTAGATCTTTTTTAAGGCACTAGTATTTAGCTTAAAATGAAATTTAATGGCTTATGGTTATTTAGGTTAATTAGGCAAGTCTTTGTATAATAATGGTTTGGTCTGTGGACAATCAAAAAAATAATAATGCTTATTAACATTTAATAATGAGTTTATGCCTAACATTACGAATGAATTACTTGCTAATGCTTAATAAAGAGTTCATAGTGCACTCAGAAATAAAAGTACGCGAGTTGTCACTGGTACAGGTACACATTTGTATTTAAAGGGTCCATATTGGTACCTAAAATATATATATATAATTAGTACCTATAAAAATTAAGAGGAACACTTTTGTACTTTTTAGGTACAAATTTGTACCTTTTGAAAAGGTACTACTCCAGTGACAACTCGCGTACCCTTATTTCTGAGAGTGTGTGTAGTTATTATAGTGCTACCCAATATTCCTTTCATCACGATAGGGCAAAGACTAGGTTCCAAATAATATAAATATGTTATATTTTAAGTCCAAACTTAATTTTTTTTCCTGTTTTTTCTGTAAAACATGGGTAAGATGTTCCAGGGGAATTAACTCATTTATCATTAATCCATTCATTCATTCATTCATTCATTCATTCATTTTCTCTTTCAGCTTAGTTCCTTTATTAATCTTGGGTCGCCACAGCGGAATGAACCACCAACTTATCCAGCACATGTTTAAAGCAGCGGATGCCCATCCAGCCACAACCTATCACTGGGAAACATCCATACACACTCACTCACACTCATACACTGCGAACAATTTAGCCTACCCAATTCACCAGCGACCTTCTTGCTATGAGATGACAGCACTACCTACTGCGCCACTGCGTCGCATATCATTAATCCAATTAAGTAAAAAAAAAAATCTGGCAGCAAAGTTTAATTTATAATACAATTTATTTTTGGCTGATGAAAAAATGCATAAGGTATACCCAAAATCAATGAAACTGGATCAAAACCCAACTGCATGCTAAAGATGTATTTGGGACATATTTAAAAAATAAATAAATAAATAAATAAATAAAATTAATAAAAATAATTTTAACTTCAGCTGTATATATAATACATAATATATTACTCCCCCTTTCGAAATGTACTTCTACAATCTTGAAACCTCTAATTAGCAATAAAGAACATATTTTAATCATGTTTCTCACCTGAAGCCCTTGATAGGGCACTGTTTACAGATGTAGCAGCGCGCCTGGTGTTTAGCGGTTTCAGCCACAGTAACACGATGCAGAACTGGAAGCCACACCACCGACTGAGGCTCCAGACTCATCCACTCCAAGAAGTGAGACAACTCGATCGCCGACTTTCCGGAAACCTGGAGAAAACACACAAGAGAAAGACAGCAACAGTTAGCACCATATTGCTCATTGTGCATGCCTAATTAAGCACCAAAACAACTGGCATATCCATTCGTTGAATGAACTTTCTCGACCCATAGGGAATCGCGGAAACAATCGCAAAAGAAACTGGACCTTATTACGACGACACGATGGAAAACGGATGACAGGCTATAACCCTAATAAAAGAGGATGAGATAAAAGTCTGGAACGTGCTAAATTCTCATTAAATACGCATCGGAGATACATTAAAGGGTTGATTTCCCTTGGGCGCATTCTGAGGCTCGGGCAAAGCTTTATAATTAACATGAGCATCTCTAGTTTGGCCCTCGGTAGTCGCTGGAGTGTGTCGTCTCCTGAGAGGGCATGGCTGTGTATGTGTGCCTCTGTGTGTGTGTTTTAAGCAGCGTTTGTAGTCTGGGACTCGTACCAAAGTCTGCACTGTGCTGGAGTCGAGCTGAACACTCCAGAAGTTTCACTGAAACAACAAAAGGAGATCTTCTAAACAGTCCACGCCACTGGGAGAGCCGAGGGTTTCTCTTGAGATGCTTCATAACTTCAAGCAAAGTGAATCAGTCTTTTCATCTAGACACACGCTGGCCAGCTGAGCCGCATCATTGTCAGTCTGTCAGGATTAATGAAGCAAAAATTGGGGGAATTGGAAAGCACTGATTGGCAGCACGGTGGCATTTCGGCCATTAATAAAAAAAAAAATAATAATAATAATAAAATTCTAATCATGTGTGTCTGAATGTGTGGATATGCTCTTGAATGGAATGGGATTTAATTAAGGGTTGACACACATGAGGATAAAAGCTTTAAGGCCATTTTGCAGGAAACCTGAGGCCTACACCGGTTTCGTAATTAGGCTGTCGGTGAAATGAAATGCTGAAAGGTTACGTTCCATTGAGACGCACACCTACATTTTCAGAATTACAGCCTCGTAAGAGTAATGAGAGATAAGATGATGCCAACTGGTATTACTTATTAACCATTCCTCAGTGTGAATTATTAAGTCTAAAACATACTCGACATTAGGTATGCTAAAGCAAACCCATTCAAAAGTCATTTAACATGTATAGTTGTGTTTTGACACAATTCATATGACTTATTGTAATTCATTTTACTTACCATAAGAATGCATTAGAAGCAAATAAATTTTTTATTTTTTAGGTCACCGGCCACTTTATTAGGTACACCTTACTAGTACAGGGTTGGATCCCCTTTTTCCTTTAGAACTGCCTTAATCCTTCGTGGAACAGATTCAACAAGGTGCTGGAAATATTCCTCAGAGATTTTGGTCCATATTGACATGATAGCATCACGCAGTTGCAGCAGATTTGTCGGCTGCACATCTATGATGCCAATCTTTCATTCCACCACATCCCTAAAGGTGCTCTATTGGGTTGAGATCTGGTGACTTTGTAGGCCATTTGAATACAGTGAACTCATTGTCATATTCAAGAAACCAGTCTGAGATGATTCGTACTTTATGACATGGTACATTCTCCTGCTGGATGTAGCCATGTTCTTGGCTTACAGGAGTGGCACTCAGTGTGGTCTTCTGCTGCTGTAGCCCATCCGCCTCAAGGTTGGACAAGTTGTGTGTTCAGAGATGCTCTTCTGCAGATCTCTGTAGTAACGAGTGGTTATTTGAGTTACTGTTGCCTTTCTATTAGCTAGAACCAATCTGGCCATTCTCCTCTGACCTCTGGCATCAACAAGGCATTTGCAACCACAGAACTGCCGCTCACTGGATATTTTCTTTTTTTCGTTTTCTGTAAACCCTAAAGGTGGTTGTGCGTGAAAATCCCAGTACATCAGCAGTTTCTAAAAAAACTCAGACCAGCTCGTCTGGCACTAACAACCATGCCACGTTCAAAGTCACTCAAATCACGTTTCTTCCTCATTCTGATGCTCGGTTTGAACTGCAGCAGATCGTCTTGACTATGTGTACATGTTTAAATGCATTGAGTTGCTGCCACATGATTGGCTGACTATAAATTTGCATTAATGAGCAGTTGTACGTACCTAATAAAGTTGCCATTGAGTGTACTTTACTGTATAAAAAAGTTGGGTAATGTTTGGGATCAATAATTTTATTAGTTTGTTCGTTCGTTCATTCGTTCATTTAATTATTTATTTATTTATTTATTTATTTATTTATTTATTTATTTATTATTTATTTATTCATTTGTTGGTTCATTCAAACAGAAACCGTTATTTAAATACTGTTACAAACACTTTTTTACTGTATTTTGTAAGAAAGAAATACTGGCTAGGTAAGTTTAAAAACATTAAACTGTCTACATTTATTTGAGCAGCATTGTAAGTGCAACAAAAAGGTGACAGCAAAAAAAGGAGATTTCCTTTACAAAAAAAAAAAGATTTTAAAACATATTTTTTATCATTTATATGTATTGATTTTTTTTAGGGGATGACTGGGGTTATATACCCCATATTTAAGATCTATTAGTAGAAATACATTTTTATATAAATTTTAATATTTGTGTTAATTTTTATATAAGCTTTCATTGTATTAATTATATTACAATAATTTGATAAAGGAGGGACATACATTAACATATTTATACAATGTGTTTAGAGAGCTCTTAGGAATATTAATAGTATGCAAAATACTCACTGCCAATAGAAAACCATTCTAAAATATAAAATAATTTTGGTTTTAAATAATATTCTAGAATGTTTAGAATATCAGTAATAAAACTACATCATACTTTTCATATTCCAGTTATAAATGATTGATTTCAGATATTGATTTCACCAAAGCTTTACCTGTATCTCTAAGCTTCTATCAAAACATCATGACCAATATAAAGAGAAACGTTTAAAAATAGCCACTGTTTTTTTGCTTTTCTGTTAACCTAGCCGTTAAAGCCACTTAAGTTACACACTTCACTTTTAATGGCACAGAAGGTACCTCTATTGTCCCCTCGAGGACACAAGTTTGATGCAGGCACAGTAAAGGCGAAATCCACGTTTAATAAGAACAACACGACAACCAAGCATTTGCGTTGGGAGCGTTTTCGGTCAGTGACTCACTAAAACCCAATGGAATAAAGTAACAGAACAGCTCTTTAATCTCTCAGCGTTCCAGCCCAAAAACCCAGGAGAAGCAGAGCCCAGTTAGAGAGAGAGAGCGAGGCCAAGAGAGAGAAACGTGACAGGCAATAAAAGTGAGAAAGGAAAGTGAGAAAGTATGCCTCTGGTACAAATGTTTAAGAAGATTTGCTCATCACAGAGAGTGTAGAGGGAGGCCTTTCATCATATCAACAGAAAGTATATCAGAGGAAAAGAGAAAATGAAAGAGGGAATTGGGTTAGAGGAGATGAACGATCGACCAGCCAGAAATAGTAATCGGCTGGTTATTGCACCAAATGCGAGATTGGCAACTGGCGAAAGTTTTTTAGTTTTTTTATTTTAGCCATTTTCTATCCCAGACTTGCATACAAACTACACTGCAATGATTTTATAGTACAAAGTCTGTAAATGGAGTGTTAACAGAGGCCAGACATGCTATAGACAGAGCACAGGCATTTCAGCACAGGCCACAAGTTATGCTGCTTTAACTGCATGCATTATTGACTTTTTCATTTCATACTTCCACAATTTCATGGTGTTTAACATTAAATTGAATGAATATGCAGATAAAACAAACACATAGTCTATTACATTAGCGTTAAGCCATTCGGCAAGGTAGCCCAGGCAGACAGATAAACTCTCTGTCATCATGGCTCCAAAAGTTCATGTATTTCATTAATCCTGTCTGAATCATAATATGTTTTTTTGTGTATTTTATGTTGACAAAAATTGACATCAAATGAAATAAATGTACATATTTCAAACTAACATAAACTAATACATTTCAAAATTTGGCACATTCAGCTAAAGCCTGTTTGAACTAGTCTATGTGTTTTATCAATCACTAAATTTATTCACACACAATGTGTTTGTCCATTCCAGTGTGCTACTTTTCCATTGTATTTTCCAGGAACACATACAGTAGTCCAGCATGTTAGTGTTAAGCTGGTTGGCAAAGTAGCCAAGGCACACATAGTCTATTACATTAGTATTAAGTCATTCGGCAAGGTAGCACAGGCACGCATAGATAAATTGGCTCCATGATCATGGCTCAATAAATGTATGAATATTATTTATCCTGTCTGAATCATAACAGTTTATTTTGTATGTTAGGCTCACAAAAACTGATATCCAATTAAATAACATTACAAAATTTGGCACATTCAGCTAAAGCCAGTTTGAGTTAGGCTGTGTTTTGTCAATCGCTAAATTTATTCACACACAATGCGTTTTTCCATTTCAATGTGCTAATTTTCCATTGTTTTTTCACCCCAGGAATATATAGTCCAGTATGTTAGTGTTAAGTTGGTTGCTCAGTAGCCAAGGCACACATAGTTTATGACATTGGTGTTAAGCCAATTGGCAAGGTAGCCCAGGCACGCATAATTAAACTGGCTTCATGATGATGGCTCCAAAAATTCACGTATTGAATTATATTCATTAATCCTGTCTGAATCATAACATTGTTTTTTTTTTTTTGTATGTTATGTTCCCAAAAACTTATATCAAATGAAGTACATGTACATATTTCAACTAATGAAAACTAATACACTACAAAATTTGGCACATTCAGCTAAAGCCTTTTAGGATTAGGCTATGCATATATCAATTGCTAAATTTATTCACACAGAATGCGTTTTTCCATTCATTTGCGTTACTTTTCCATTGTTGTTTTTCTTAGGAACATATAGTCCAGTTTGTTAGTGTAAAGTAGGTTGGCAAAGTAGCCAAGGCTCACATCACAGTCTATTACATTAGAGTTAAGCCATTCAGCAAAGTAGCCCAGGCACACGTAGATAAATTAGCTCCATGATTAAGGCTCCAAAAATGTTTCATTTATCTTGTGTAAATCATCATGTTTTTTTGTTTTTGTTTTTTTGTATGTTCACAAAAACTGAGATCAGATGAAACAATTTTACATATTTAAACTAGCGAATGTGCTACTTTTCCGTTGTTTTACAATGTAAATGTGCTTGACAAATTTGCATATTACATTAGTATTAAGTCATTCGGCAAGTTAGCACAGGCACGCATAGATAAATTGGCTCCATGATCATGGCTCAATAAATGTATGAATTTTATTTATCCTGTCTGAATCATAACAGTTTATTTTGTATGTTAGGCTCACAAAAACTGATATCCAATTAAATAACATTACAAAATTTGGCACATTCAGCTAAAGACAGTTTGAGTTAGGCTGTGTTTTGTCAATCGCTAAATTTATTCACACACAATGCGTTTTTCCATTTCAATGTGCTAATTTTCCATTGTTTTTTCACCCCAGGAATATATAGTCCAGTATGTTAGTGTTAAGTTGGTTGCTCAGTAGCCAAGGCACACATAGTTTATGACATTGGTGTTAAGCCAATTGGCAAGGTAGCCCAGGCACGCATAATCAAACTGGCTTCATGATGATGGCTCCAAAAATTCACGTATTGAATTATATTCATTAATCCTGTCTGAATCATAACATTGTTTTTTTTTTTTTTTTGTATGTTATGTTCCCAAAAACTTATATCAAATAAAGTACATGTACATATTTCAACTAATGAAAACTAATACACTACAAAATTTGGCACATTCAGCTAAAGCCTTTTAGGATTAGGCTATGCATATATCAATTGCTAAATTTATTCACACAGAATGCGTTTTTCTATTCATTTGCGTTACTTTTCCATTGTTGTTTTTCTTAGGAACATATAGTCCAGTGTGTTAGTGTTAAGTAGGTTGGCTAAGTAGCCAAGGCTCACATCACAGTCTATTACATAAGAGTTAAGCCATTCAGCAAGGTAGCCCAGGCACACAATAAATTAGTTCCATGATCATGGCTCCAAAAATGTGTGTATTTCATTTATCTTGTGTAAATCATCATGTTTTTTTGTTTTTGTTTTTTTGTATGTTCACAAAAACTAAGATCAGATGAAACAATTTTACATATTTAAACTAGCGAATGTGCTACTTTTCCGTTGTTTTACAATGTAAATGTGCTTGACAAATTTGCATGACCGTTATGCCTGTGTCTTTTGAAGTCATTATATTGAAATGGTTTGCTCTCACTAGTTTGCAAAGTGTGAAATACTGTAAGAAAATTGGGGGTGGTTTTACTGAAATATCAATAAGTAAATGGAACCTATTGTCTTCAGAAAAGTTCAGATGGTATTTTGTGCTTAGAATATTTCTATGCAACGTATATTAAATTCCAGCCCAGCAGGACTAACCAATGAAATAATGTAATTCCTGCATTATTCCTATAACCGCAGAGAGTCAATAAAAGTTTTATTCAGCCTGTTTACTGTTTTTGTTTTGTAGGTTTTATGTATCATCATTTCACAAAGTTCAATCATTGTGTTTTTACTTTAAATAATTAAATTATTTATTTTTATTATTATTATAATTGACCTTATGTAAACATAACTAAAACAGACTACTTTGCTTGTAAGAAAATCTGTAATCAGCCATAAAAAACAAGCTTGGTTCATCACTTCTGGTTAACTCTTACCATGTGAGAGATAAGTTAAGTCTTACCATGCGAAAGCAGCTGCGGACACTGGGCTCTACATTGCTCCCTCCAAAGGCCGCCACCTCCCCGAGCTGCCGTGGGACCTGAATGGCCTCGTGCAGTAACAGACTGAGATGTTTCTGATCTGTCAGGCCGCCTGGACCACACACCTGTCGGAAAAGGTCTGCAGTAGACAAACAGAAGACCTGGTTCAATAAATAAAGACACTTGGGAAAAGAAGCTCTGCGACAGTGTGCAGAAATCTGGAGGTGGGCAAACTGAGAAAGTGAGACTTAAATGTCGTTAGGTTACAGAGGTGTGAGGCGAGATGGCTCTCACTTCAATGTTTGAGGTGTTGGAATAAAAAAAAAGAAAAGAAAAAGAACAGAAGAAAAAAAACTTAAAATATACAAAATTTTCATTTACATGAATGCATAGTTTTCTGCTCTTTGTAGTTAGATACTTATTCATTTTCTTTTTCGGCTTAGTCCCTTTATAATTCTAGGGTCCCCACAGCGAAATGAACCGCCAACATAGTGGATGCCCTTCCAGCTGCAACCCATCACTGGGAAACACCCATACATTCTTGCATTGACACCCACACATACTGTACACTATGGCTAATTTAGCTTATTCGATTAACCTATAGCACATGTCTTTGGACAGTGGGGGAAACCGGACCACCCGGAGGAAAGCCACACAAACACGTGGAGAACAAGCAAACTCCACACAGAAATGCCAACTGACTCAGCTGGGGCTCGAACCAGTAACCTTCTTGCTTTGAGGCGACATTGCTACCCACTGTGCAACTGTGTCGCCTGTAGTTAGTTAACTAAAGCACTAAAAAATGTAATAAATAATCAACAAAAAACAAATAAACAGATACAAAGTTCACAGGCTGGTAGATACTCTGAAATCTGTTTTTGACCACATCCTCAACTTACAATGCAGGTCATATTAGCAGCCAATGAGCTTGCTACACATGCAGTGAAATTAGTCCTAAACTGGTCGAAAAGGTAGCCACTAGTGTTAAGCCATTAGGCAAGGTAGCCCAGGCACACATAATCTAGTTCACTAGAGTTAAGTGAGTCAGCCAAAGTAGCCAAGGCACATATAGTCTAGTAAACCACTGTTAAGTAATTTGCTAAAAACATAATAGCTATGCAAAACAGAACCTATTTTGAGTGCATGTGTTTTGCTTGTAGTGGCAGTTGGTCAAATATTTGTAACCTAGCCTATATTAATAATAATTATTGATAAAGTTATCCTGCAATCAGGGGATGTGCTGTATCGAGCGTGATAATCTTAATATTATTTTGTTGTGTGTGCTGTGGCGCAGTTTTCATATCTTGCAGTGTGCGGACGTTGAGGTAATAACATCGCCATGATGGTCAAAGAAATCGAAACACTCTTTTTACCCCAACGCAATTTAATAGGGTACTATAAAGGCTAAATACTTAATTATTATATTTCCTAAATATTTGCAGCCTAGGGCTATGCTTCTCACTTTGTATTGGATCTTTTCTAAAACATACAATATAGTGTACACACATAATTATTAACTATATCATTAATAATTATAAGAAAACCAAAACAGCCAAACAAAATTATAATTTAATTGAAAACATCACATAAGATACACATACAGTACTGTCCTGTCTAGTATTGTGAAAGGCAAAGCTGAAAATCTGGTTAAAGCACCACCCAGTGGTCAAAGGCTGCAGTCGCACCTACTACCGCCGTAGCGACAGTAAGAACGGCAGCAGAGGGAACATATTAAAGCAGTGACATCTGTCGTTCAGTATGTTAAAGTTAAGCTGGTTGGCAAAGTAGCCAAGGCACACATAGTCTAGTACATTAGTGTTAATCAATTCAGAAAGGTAGCCCATGTATGCATAGATAGTGAAATGGCTCCATGATCATGGCTCCAAAAAACAAGTGTACTTCATTCATCCTGTCTGAATTCTCTCATGTTTGTTTTTTGTATATTATGTTCAGTGTTGGGCAGTCGCATCGATACAAGTAGTGACCCTAATAGCTTGGCTACATTTCTCAGTAGCAAGGCAGTAGCGCTACTTTCAAAATCAAACAGCTTTTCAGTAGTGAAGCTACTTTTTTAGTAAAGTAGCGCATTAGTGTCTACACAAGCTACATTTACTGATCGCGGATTTATAAGGGACACCACCAACATTCATGCAGCTGTGAGGCTGATGTCTAGACCAGTGGTTCTCAAAGTTGGGGTCAGGACCTCCCAAGGGGTCGCGGGACAATGAAGGGAGGGGGGGTCGTCTGGTGATTTCCAAAAATGTATTTATTTTTATTAAACCATAAGATTTACCATATTTTATCTATAACCTACCGAAAGGAAAAAATAGTAATTTATAGTTATTATATACTACTGTATATAGTTACTATAGTAGTTTATAGTTATTAGTTCTATTGGATTGTGACCCCTGGGGTAATTACATTATATAAGACACAGCAATAGCATCAGATGCAGCAGATTGATTTTATAACACCTTAACACATTTAAAGCACTGACATCCATTAAAGAAAATTCAACAAAGAATAGACTTGGGTCTATTGGTGTGTGTGCGCCATTGCATGCAAGGTTTCTGTATTTACAGCCACATAAGAAGATATTGGGGGTTGTGAGTCACTGTAATTGTTATTTTTGTGGTCGCTGACTGAGTAGTTTGGGAACCACCGTTCCAGACGTTGAAAGTAAACTTTTTGGTGCATTACTGCCACCTCTCGCTTTGGTCCGTGATTTCATTAACATGAAAATTTTCTTGATGGAAAGATGACTGAAGTAGAGGTGTTTTTTGAAGCAGGATTCCTTGTGACCATACCTTAAGAAGTACGTTAAGATGCAATAGCGTTAATACTGACGCTGTGCTCAAAAATACTTTAGTAATATATATATATATAGTACACTGTAGAAGGCTAAAGTATACTATGGCAATTACTATTAGTTCATGATTCATGATAGTTGCTAATGATACTACATTATGTAGTGCAATTAATTAATGAAGAGTTGTAAATATATATATATATATATATATATATATATATATATATATATATATATATATATATATATATATATATATTAGGGATGGGAAGATTAACCGATATGTATCGATACGCGATCATGCGCGTGCACGATGCGAGTGCATCGGTTGAGCAGCAGAGGATGAATGAAATTTTGGAAGCAAATCGAGATGCATCGGTTTTTGCGAGATGCATCGATTTTTCCGAGATACAGCTTATATTTTTAATATAGAATGTATTTTTTATTTATTAACAAGTGTTGTCAACCTGTTTTTGGCGCATAATTTAATCGACCTACATAAAGTAAGCCTTAGCAACGGATTTGCGGATGTGCACACACTACAACTCAGTGTATCAGGTGTGCGGATGAAGCTAGTGAAGCGCCCTCAGAAAGCGCGAGAAGCAAAACAAACATTTTATTCCCCACTGAGTTTTAAATCTAAAGTATGGCAAGCAACATTATGGATTTAAGGATGGACGACATGACAGGACAGATGAAATTTGCAAAATGTGCCGCGCATCTGTAAAATACGCGGGCAGTATGACTAATCTGATATCTCACTTGAAGCGGCGCCACGGTGTTGTTGTGAAAGCATCTTCCAGTGTTTCTGCATCCCCGGCTTTCGCACTGCTTCAACCAGCTCCAAAAGTGGTGAGAAAAGCATTGAAAGTTTTTTTTTCCATGCGCAACAGTTCTGCTCGCTCTACGCCAATAACGAATGCTATTGCATTGTTCATCTGCAAAGATATTCAGCCTAGTGTCACGGAGAACGAAGGTTTTAAACACCTCCTCCTGTTAATTTTTATTTAATAATAATAATAATAATATTAATAATAATAATGATAAAAATAATTGGGTGTCACGGTGGCACAGTGGGTAGTTTGACCACCTCACAGCAAGAAGATTGCTGGTTTGTTATATTTTTATTAGCCTGTTGTTTACAGTGACAGTGATGTTTCAACGTAGCATAACACTGCTAGTTCACGACCTTAAGTTTTGAATAATCAGTGGCAAAATAAATCTTTGTAAAACTTGTTTTCATAGTTGAAAAGTTAAATCACAATTCTTGTTGTGCAATGCTAAATTTATTTATGTTGAAAGAGTGCAAATATATATATTTTTTAATATATATTGCACTTATACATTCTGTTTATCTTGAAAATACTTAAATAATATGTGCTATATGTTCTAAAATGGCCCTCTACTGTAAACTGACACTCTGGCTCTGAGAGAAAAGCCAGTTTGTAAAAAAAGTCTTGGTTTTGCTTGGTTAATAAATAATCAAACTCATTCAATGGCACAGCATCCTCTTTCACATCATCTCATAAACTTGATCTAATTAGTTAGTGCTGAAATATCGCATCGTATCGTGATATGGGTGTGAATCGTATCGTGTCGCATCGCAATATGTCATAAATGTATCGCTAATATATCGGATCGTATTCTTTGTATCGAGATGCGTATCGGATCGGCATTATAGCTTAGATGCCCAACCCTAATATATATATATATATATACAATATAATGCTCATTCCTAAATATGTCCTTTTACTATAAATTACTATAGTATTTTATATGTGTAACACCTGGTTTTATTGGATTTTTTTTTGCGTTTGCTGTTGCGTATATACTATAATTTGTTTCTGTTTGGTTCAGATATTATTTGCAGTAAATAATTGAACTTAACAATTCTGCCTGTTTTAATGATCACTAGGATATGATTGACTTGGATTGAAGTTGCTTTAAAAACGAAAATTGAAAAAAAGCTTAGATTTAGCTAAGCTACTTTTGCCAAGTAGCTTTTAGCTTAGCCTGCGACATTTTCCAGAGGGTAACTTTTAGTGTAGTTAAGCTGCATTTAAAGTAAAGTAGCTAATAGCTTAACTCACTACATTTTTAAAGTAGCTTGCCGAATAATGGTTATGTTTGCAAAAACAGATCAAATTAAATAAATGCAGATATTTGAACTAACTAAAACTCTATTAAAAATAATAAAAACTACAAAGGCACATGGCGATGCGGTGGCACAGTAGGTAGTGCTGTCGCCTCAGAGCAGGAAGGTGGCTGGTTCGAGCCTGGATCAGTTGGCGTTTCTGTGTGGAGTTTGCATGTTCTCCCCGCGTTCGCGT